TTTTTTTTTAAAAAAAGAAATTGTAAAGTATTTTGGTTGATAATTGAGGAAGAGAGGAAGAGAAAGTGTAATCTTTTAACATTTGGAATAAACTGAGTTTTGATAAAGCCTGGGTTTTCCTGTGGTTTGGGGGGCGCTCCTGGGGTGTGATGGGTCTGCTCTGGGGTTGTGTCTGAGGCTGGGAAGGGGCTTCTTGTGTCCCCCCCCTGCCACCTACCTGTCCCCAAACTGCCACTGGGCTTTGACATCTGCATTGGGGTGGCCCTGGGGTGGGGGGGGGACACCCCAGGGCTGAGCAGGGGCTCAGCACCCTTTGGTTGGTGCTGGTGGGGGGAGATGGGGACAGACTTGAGGACACCTTGGCCTCCTGCCACCCCTGGGCAAGGGGCTGCCTTGGCCACCGTGGTGTGGGGCCAGTCCTCTGTGGCCACGGGGCTTGGGGACAGGCTGAGATGGGTGCGGGGCCACCCTTGGGTGCTGCCGTGGTCCCAGGGTGGCCACAGCCCCGTGAATGTGGTGGCCACAGCCCCGTGAGTGTGGTGGCCACAGCCCTGTCTGCAGGTGACCATGTGCAGTTGCGGGAGGTGGCCACGGGATGGCAGCAGGAGAAGGTGCTGGGGACAACTGGGGCCACTGGGGCCACTGGGCTGGGGGACGTGGGGCAGGGAGAGGGGATGGCCCTTGTGAGACCCCCCCTGTCCCCGTGGGACCCCCCCTGTCCCCTTTGGACCCCTATTCCTGGCACATTTGGCCTCCAGAGACACGGCTGAGGCCACCAGCACGGCTGGAAGGTGGCTTGGCACATCCCTGCCACTGGGGTGGTGGCACCCACTGCCATCCTACGGTGGCTCTGTCGGAGCCAAGCCACACGTGTGTGTGTCCCAGCATTGACAGCACAAAATTCTGCATCTTGGTGTGACTGGAGTCCCCACTGGTGTCTATTTACTCTTAATTAATCTGTGAGGGAGCAGGTTCCTCAATGAATCATAGAATCATAGAATTGCCCAGGCCGGAAGGGACCTCCAAAGGCCATCTAGTCCGACCCCCCCGCAGTCAGCAGGGACACCCCCAACTAGACCAGGTTGCCCAGGGCCTCGTCGAGCCTCACCTTGAATATCTCCAGGGATGGGGCCTCAACCACCTCCCTGGGCAGCCTGTTCCAGTGCTCCACCACCCTCCCAGTGAAGAACCCTCTCCTCATCTCCAGTCTAAATCTGTTCCCCTCCAGCTTGAAGCCATTGCCCCTCGTCCTGTCACTGAGCCTTTGGGCAGAAGGTTGGTGGGGACCAGGAGCAGCTGGGGCTTCCCACAGCCTCTTGCCTTTGCCGCTCCCAGGTTTTTTTGGGCTGGAAAAAGATGAGTTTTGATGTGTAAAGAGATATGGCCTGAGCGTGGAGCCAGTCGGGGTCCAACAGGAGGCTGGGGGTGCTGTGGGCACCCACCTCTCCCCCAGTAAAGGCCGGGTTTGTGTTTGGTGGTGCCAGCGTTGGGCTCACGAAGGGGTTTTTCTACTTTCCACATCAGCATGAAGTTGGGATGTGGGTCCCTGGGGGGTGTTTGGTTGCCACCAAAAAAGACATCGAGGTGCTGGACCGGGTCCAGAGAAGGGCAACGGAACTGGTGAGGGGTCTGGAGCACAAGTCTGATGAGGAGAGGCTGAGGGAGCTGGGGGTGTTCAGCCTGGAGAAGAGGAGGCTGAGGGGAGACCTTATTGCTCTCTCCAACTCCCTGAAAGGAGGGTGTAGCCAGGGGGGGTCGGTCTCTTCTCCCAAGGAACAGGGGATGGGACAAGAGGAAATGGCCTCAAGTTGCACCAGGGGAGGTTCAGATTGGAGATTAGGAACAATTTTGACATGGAAAAGGTTCTCAGGCATTGGAATGGGCTGCCCAGGGAGGTGGTGGAGGCACCATCCCTGGAGGTGTTCAAAAGACGGGTTGATGTGGTGCTGGGAGGTCTGGTTTAGTGATGGTGTTGCTTTTTGTTCGTTGTGCGGGTGTTTATTTTTGTCAAAATTAGGTTGACGGTTGGACAAGATGATCTTTAAGGTCCCTTCCAACCTAGAAGATTCTGTGATGGGGGTGCAGCACCTCGGGGCACAAGGCAAAAGGCCGGGTGGGTGGACAGGGTCCTTCCTCTCATCTGCAGAGTGGGATTTTCCTTATTTCCTCGGCTGCTGGTGACCTGGGAGCCTGTTGTGGTGGCCAAGCTCCGCTCCTGGGCACCATCAGCAACCTTGAGAGCAAACACCCAACGGGTCTCTTGGCCAAGGGCTGGTTTGTCCCTTCGGGGTAACCCCAACCCCGGGGCAGGGACACCCAGACGAAGGGGTCAGCTCCTGTTGGTCCTGCCCAACCTCTACCCCCTCCCCAAATCTCCCTGCAGTGCTCCAGTGCTCCCAGTTGCTCCCCATCCCCTTAGCACAGGCAGGTTTTTATGTCCAACCCCCCCAGTTTGGGCAATTTCTTGCAGCACGAGCAGGACTGGGCTGGTGACACCATCCTGTGTGGTCCTCCCCAAGTCCAGATCCCACCAGGAGCCGATGCAATTCCCTCCTCCATCTCCTGCAGCTGGGGACAAACCCCACATTGTCCCAAATGGGGTGGGATCGTGCCCATCCATCCATCCATCCATCCATCCTCAAGGGACTGGTCCTGCTCCTGGGAAGGGGAAAACATCTCCTCGTGAGCTGGGAGCCCGCTGGTATTTTCAAGAAAAAGGGGAAAAACAGGGCTGGGGAGAACAATAGGGTTGAAAATATTCGGAGCTGATGAATCAGCCGGTGTTGTCTTGGGAGTGACACTTCAATGGGAAACTGCTGGAAATCGGGGGAAGGCTGAGCCCCCGCGCAGCCGGGAGAGGGTGGGCGAAGGAAAAACAGCTTAATTGAGGAAAGGGAAATGTCTCATTAATGAGGTTTTGCACCGGCAGAGCGAGGTGGTGACGTTTTGGGGACAATTGGGTCCCGTAGTGGAGTTTTGGGGGGGGGATGCCTGGTTGTGCCAGGGTCCAATCGCCAAGTTTCCAACAGCCCAGACCCCATCTCATTCCCGGGGGGGTCCCCAGGTTGGGGGCTCCGGTCCCGCACCCCCAGTCCCCATCTGTGGCAATTTGAAGTGTGTAAAAGGCTTTTAATTGACAGACAAAAGATGGGAACGTGGGATTGGGTGCTTTTAGCATCCCCGAAGGATGAGCTCTGGTGTTGTGAGGCTCTTTTGTCTCCCAAATAAAAGCACTTGGTGTGTGTTGTTGGAGCGACGGGTGGGTTTTGGGGTTGTTTTTTTTTTTCCCCCTTGTTTTTTAACACGTTGCTTTTTTGGCTGGGGGGCAAAAAAAAAAATATAAATCTACCTATGCCTTGCTCCTGCGGGATCTGGCGGGAGGGAATTGCGTCTTTGAGAGGGTTTGGGGGATAGGGAGTTGATTCCTTGTCCTCCCTTTTCCTGCCTCAAAGAGGAAACGAGCTTTAATTACTGCCGAGCTGCCCGCTGGCAGGGCCCTGTGGTTTTCCCTGGGCTCTGGCTAATTAAACAGCCGGCTGCGGCGTGTCGGGTCGCTCGGGTCTTTAATGATGGGTCTGAAGAGAAGGAGAGAGTTTGATCATCGCCCCGGGAGGTCTCACCTCCCCGAGTCCCGTCCCTAAGGCTGGGAACCTGGCCAGTACATCCCAGTATAACTGGGGTGCACTATGGTCACGTGGGGACCCTGCTAGAGGAGGTGGAATTGGGTTGAAATAGTGATGCGTGGAGCTCCCAAAACTGCTGAACTCCTGGTTCATCTCCCTTAACAGCCCAAAAATAAGAGGAAATGTCCCGTTTGGCTCAGGACATCCCTCCGGAGCTGGGAAATGGGATCCCTGGTGCTCCCAGGGGACACCAGCCACCCCCCCACCACCACCAGTTGGTCCCTGGGCTCTGTGTGTTCCTCCCCATCCCATTTGAAGGGAATCAAACCAGCACATTTGAGCCAAATTTGTAAGTATGGAAGGAGTGGGGAAAAAGAGGAAGAGAAGAGAGGAGAGGAGAGGAGAGGAGAGGAGAGGAGAGGAGA